GCATTAGAAAATGCTCCAAATTGAGAAGTTTGATCAGCTGGTGACGCGCGCGTCCCCGCTCAGCATCGGCGAACGGCATAATTAATCTGCATTTCCTGCACAAACAAACTGTACGCACGGCTTTGGCGCTTGCGTACGCGCACATGTATGTGTGCACATATATTACATACATGTACGCATGTATAATGTATACAAGTGTGCACATTTATTAGAATTCACCGATATCAAAAACGGCATATTTGTATAATTGAATTCGTACTCGCATATCGCACCCCCAATGAGATGGGTGAGTTATGAACACGTTTAGAAGTAAACTAGCAAGGGATGAAAGAAAAGAAAACGGCATTTCCATTGCGCACTCCTAGTCGTTATAAGAAAAACTCTACAAACATAATTATGGATGGTCGCGTGGGATATATAGTTTATTGACCTAATAAAAAACCTTCAAATTATGATTTTTTGCGCCGTGACTTCTCAGTAACCCAGGCATGCACCCATAGAGAGGCAATATATTTATTTAATTGCTAATAATAGAATTGGTATCAATTATCTAAGAGCATAATTTATGGCAAAATCCCCCCCCCCGAATATTTGTTTTATCAGTGGTATCAAGAGTAGATAATAACACATCTGTGTTATTATCTTACTCTTGGTGGTATCTATGCCACAACTCATGTGAGTCACATTATATGCTAAGGCGTCGATTATTTGGAACATTTGATTCATGATTGCATAGTAAAAATAGACACGCAACTAGGACAGCCAACAGATATATACTCGTGCATACATATATCCGCTACTATTTCCGTCTTCAGCAGCTAAACGCAACGTAGAATCTTCGAATTATTATCTGATTTCTAAATCTTATACCTTCTGCGTCTAGATGAAAATAACGCTACTTCGTAAAGCTTGAACTCATCGGCAGAATTTGTGTGTTTTATATGTGTAAAATTAACAGCTCGATCGTTAGTTACCGTAATACGCACATACACACGTACACACGCTCAGAGAGAAAGAGAAAGGGAGAGGGAAAGAGAGTGAGACACGGATAGAGAGAAAGAGAGAAAGAAAGAAAGAAAGAAAGATAGATAGATCGATACTGATTCGATAGATAGATAACTAGATATATAGAGATAGATAGATAGAGAGGTAGATAGATCAATAGATAGATAGAGATACCACTAACCCAAGGCAACCGCAGAACCGTCGATCGTAGGCATCCAGGCTTTTGTGGTTCTGAAAGTCTTTGAGAGTATAAAATGGACTCGGCTAGAATGTTAGGTAGTCAATTCACGAGATCCTAATAAGTACTTGATGGGCACAAGTTGTGGTCCTCGCTCCATTCTCGTACGGGTGTCGATTCTCAATGCACGCAATTTTCTCGAAATAGCGTGCTTTGGCTACGTTGTCTAGTGAATCAAAGTACTTGTCCATACTACGTACACTACAGACAGTCGACAAACGTGCATACACTAGCTATTATAAAAAGCTGCGTTTGATAGCTAGAGTAGATGCAGTAAAATCGGTGAAATTTCTGAACTCTCACGATGTAAACAAACTCAAGTCTATGAACATAATATGTGTTGCGTGCGTGCCAATCTTCCCATCTGCTCAATCTACGAATCTGCCGACTGTGTGGCAGCCTCATTGAACTGTAGCACCTAAAACCCACGCTGATAAACCTGTCTGGTAAATCGGGATCCTCTTACTTCTAATATCTATTGCAATAATAACACTATAGCCAATGTAAAATCGGTTGATTGTGCAGAGCGGCACATTACACGCGACACGTGTTCTCTTTTTTTGTAACCGGTATGGCCGGCGGCACGGGATTGTAGGTAATATTGCTAATTTTAGACCAAGTCGCGGAACCCTCTATATAGCTACTAGCCTACTAGCCTATCTAGTTATCAACATTACTCTCCGTGACATACAGCATCGAGTGATACACATCAAATGAAGACCTAATAATATCAGGAGGCTCTCTATATTAGGCCTATCTTTAATATATCAGGAGGCTCTCTAATAATCTCTATATTATACACTCTTGGTAATATTATAAGCTAGGTATAATTTATTTATTAATAAATATTATTAGCTCTTGATCAAATATATATAACAAAGAAAGGGAATAATATAACAAATAATGCGTATAATATATATTGATTTTAAATAGAGATTATTGTGTACATCTAAACCTGACCGCTGTGCATGCTAAGTTCTATCCCTCGATCTTTCTCTCATGTGGCCGATTTTATTTCCTGCAAACGTGTTTCAATTTAGCCGTATGCTAAGATACAGTGTTAAGTTATCTGTCATGCTATGATGCTATGACATTATGTATTCAGTCTACGTACCCGCGTTGTTATTCTCACAGTTCGGCATGCAAACATGACATTTCCAGCGTATCCTGATATAGTACCCAGCCGGCAGCGACTACGCATATTCACTAGGTCCGTCTCCCATCGTCTGTTGTACTTTGTATGCGCGTGGCTGATGACCTTTTATGCCGAGCAGCTCGCGGACGGTATAGACATGTAATGATGCCTTTCGTCCGTCGTTGTTACTGCGTTGGATCATTTTACTTAACATTTCTAACGTCACTTGATTTTACTTTTCACTCGTCTGTCCGTAGTACCGGCCTGGCAAGTTCTATTTGCGTGCGTTTTGTCCAGTTTCGATGGTTATTGTTGCCATGGAAACGACCTCATTGGATGAGAGATCACAGTTTCCTATCCAGTGGTGTATGAAGTGTAATGAAAATCGCCCCCTTTAATGAATATACCTGTCCTTTAACCAAGACGTGATTCTACGGATCCAATGACTATGGTTTGTAATTAAGCTAACACACATTGTTTTTGTAGCATCATGGAAAACATTTAATTTAATGTCTAAAATGTAGTCGCATGCGTAGAGTAGGCCTACTTGACGGGTGGATTTCTGACCCACCACCCGAACAATGATTTAATAACTTTAAGAATATACTATGACATACGGTCTGACCTCTGTTAGATGCAGTTTGACAATGAGATTATGTAACTAAAATGTCAGGTACACAGTATAACAGCACATTATATTCTTCGTATGATACGTAGACATCATCTAACGGAACAGGTATGTTATGTGAACTGGTTTTGTTGTTTTCAGTCCGACCAGCAGCTGACGGCTGTCGGGAAGGCAGAGTTTGGGCAGGCCTTGGTTGATTCTGTCAGCCTGTTTGGACTCGCCCAACTACTCCAGTCACAGGAGAGCGTCAATGATGACGAACAAAGGTAGGCAGGACAACGAAGCAATGCAAAAATGTTATCTCAGTATACATCAAAATTAATGAATGTCACCGCGTCGTCTGTAGCTCGCAGTTAGCTGTTCCAAATGATAGTTGCGATGTCTTCTATATATACTGCTGCACGCGCGTGCACGTGTGTTTTATTTGTAGTGGGTGTCTAATCACGTGACTAGGTATATATATATATATATATATATATATATATATATATGCGCACCAAAAAGAATGCTAAAATAATATTAGTGCAATAAATAGTAATACTTGAAAAAAAATACAACAAACAGAACTAAACCGGAAAGCGCGTGGCAATGCCGTTCCGTCTTTGGAACCACAAACATCTGGATGTAGGCGTCCGGCCAATGCATGTGCACATTAAATTATTGTTTTTTGTTTCTTACACGATTTAGGCAAGGAACATATTTTTCAGTACGAATAACATACTCGTTTTTTACTTGCGTTTGAAGAGTGCACCGCACAAGATAATTTTAATTTCATACAAAAAACACGGAAGTGTAACCCATTATTTTTATAATCACGCTGCTCTCTCTCAGTGGGGTACATGACATGATTATTTCTATTATGGACTCTTGATGACATGAACCATGTTTATCAGTATACATGTATGGAACAGAACGAATGTGTTGAATGCAGCACCCATACGGCTATAACAGGCCCGTAGCCAGCTTTCTATTGGGGGGGGGGTTCGTTTTTCAATTTTGCCAATTTGCTCGGCAGGGGCGTGTACAGGATT